TAGAAGAAACAGAAATTTGCCAGCTCCCTGAAAATCTGCCTTGTATCCATTCAGTTTTCAAAGACTCTCCACTTCCATTTGGATTTATTATGCGTATATTATACTTAGTTACCAGTTTGAGAACTAGGCTCAGTTCTCTGTATTTATTACACTGTTCAGTTCGGATCCATTCAAACGCAGTGCAGGCATGAGCTCAGTGGCTCATGTACAACTTCGTACGCTCTTGTCCTTGAGCTCCTCTCCTCAGCAGCAGGACTCACATTCTCTTGCTCCCAGGGGTCCCATATTCACGTTCACGCGTTTCCCTTATGCGTTGATGTCTGACACTACGCCTGCCTCCGGTACCCAGAAGCAAGAACATAGGAAGAGAGCAAATCATCCCATGCCCCTCTCTTCCTCAGAGAGAGGATGCCTGTGGGCTTTGGCGGGTGTAACACCACGACTGCTGCAGGACTGGCTGATGCCTAAAATGGGGGAGGACAGAGAAAAGTAAAAGAAAAGAAAAGCACTATAAGATTTCTTTCATTCTCTTTCCGCCAACTTTAGGGATCTATTCTGCTTCTGGCCAGAAGCAGGGATAGTGAAAAGTCTCGGGCACTCTTACAGTCTACACGCAGTTCGTAGTTTGGAATCTGACAGCTTTCAAAACTAGGTTGCTTTTGCATTACCAAAGATTAAAAGAAAACATGAAAGTCAATACCAGTTCAATGGTATTTCAGGTTCTGCTTTTTTGGCCCCAATACATAGATGCCCTTTGACTTAACGATGGTATTATATAAAAGAACTCATCAAAAGCTAAAAAATATTCTAAGTCAAAAAAGCATTTAATTCATCTAACCTACTCAGTGGTACAGTCTTAGAATACAGAGCTCTTTTGGTTGCATGGCTGACAGAAGATGGTGGCTCACGGGTTAGGTCCTGAATTGTTTAAGAGCATGTCACTAGACCAGGAAAAGATCCAAGTCTGAAGTGTGCTTTCTGATGAAAATTTATATTTTTGCACCATCATAAAGTTGAAAACCTTTAAAGAAAAAGCATATAAACACAATAAGTGAAGTCTAAAAGCTCCAAGTTGAACCACCACAAGTGTGGGACTGTTTGTACCTGTTTGTATTTTTCAGAACCTTCAACATGTTTCACTTACATTCAGTATATCAGAGCAGAGTGTGTCGTACCTTGTCAAGTTAGGTCTGACTTCCACTGAAGCATAAAAGACAAGAAATTATTTTCTGTACTTTAAGAAAAAAATGCCTATTACATCTAGGCTACATTAAAAAGAAGGGTGTTCATTTGAAAATATCTGTTCAATGCAGAATATGTTAGCTTACTGGTCTTTCATTCCGATGACTAGAAAAAGAATTGTGACATTTGATGCAATGTGTTACATAACAAAAGTAAATAAGAACTTTCTGCATTGATTTGCTTCTGGGCTTATTTGCCTAGTGATAAAATTTTGCTATGTTTTCTGTTTTGTTGGGGTGCAGGGTGTCTCTTGTTACTCAAGTTGTTCTCAAACTACTGGATTCAAGTTACCCCCTACCTCAGCCTCCCAGGAAGCTGGGGAAATAGGTGGGAATTGCTGTGCCCAGCATTCTGATAAGTCCTGAACTACTGTAATTCCTCAGAGGACTGTGGTCTCAGATTTGTAGACATAAACATAAATCTTCGTGAAGAGCTACTCCAGATTGCTAAACTGGGATTCAGTATTACCAACAACCACAGGCAATCGCATTAGTACCACAATCATTAAGATTGGGGAAAGTTCACAATTAGTTCTTACTAACAAATTCTTGTTAGATTTGTGTGCTCTTTTTGGTAATAGCAGATCTTCAAATAATTAAAGCATAAATGAAACAAACACAGCTGGGATCTCTATGCTTTCTATTACTAATTATGATACGATAAGCAACAATTTCATGTTAATCTGCAATAACATTGTTTATCTTCAGAGAACTTTTTTCTTTTCTTTTCATTTTTTCTCTTTCCTTTCTTTTCCTTCCTTTCCACTTAACAGTTTACCCCAAACATCACTCAATAATATGTTTATTTACATACTATCTCCAGCATTGCTGGGGCATAAAGAGTAACCAGGAATTGTTTTGTCATTAGCACCACCTGGTCTAGGAAGTCCAGCTAGGTATCCAGGTAGGAGACAAGAGCATCTGGTCTTTGTTCTTTCCTTGTTACATGACTCATTTATCTATTAAATCAATATTAGCTAAACAGCTATACCTGTAATCTTATTTTGTTTTGTTTTGTTTTGTTTCGTTTTTTTTGGTATCGGGATTGAACTCAGGTCTTTGTGCTTACAAGGCAGGCCACCAAACCGCTGAGCTAAATCCCCGGCTATACCTGTAATCTTATAAATCGATTGCAGTGTGATCTACACTGTATCCACACTGTGACTTTGCCGTATAAATGTCCCCTGACAAAGGGATTTGGGACCCCTCCTGTCTTTCAGAAGCTATCTCTCAATAAATCTTTCCTACTCTTAACTTTCTATACTCTTTTGAATTCATTCTTCGATTTCAGGGGAAAAGAAAGCAGCATATCTGATATCTAAGGGGTTGAGAGTTGGCTTTCTCCTATATCAATTATTTTGGGAGAACATGAAGCTCTCTATATAATAAAAAATAAAACTTTGGCTGGGGATTTCACTCAGTGGTTCTCGTGCCTGCCTTGCAAGCACAAGGACCCAAGTTCAAACCCCAGTACCCCGCCCAAAAAATAAATAAATAAAACTTGTCAGATGACATAAAAATGTCCTGAGGAAAAAGAATTTCTGATGAACATCAAGCCCAAATTGGATTTGGAAGAATAAATAAAATAACTACTTCAGTAAAGGACTCTCTTTAGTATATGAAACTAGACTATTAAACAATAAGTCACGCAGCAGTACCGCAATATGTCCAGTTGTGCAAGTTCAAGTCATTGGTACTGAACAACTTGGAAATATGCTTGCGTGCAGAGCCCACATATTCTCAAAGGCACTTCATAGAAGACATGGGAGACAAGAAGGACATGGATGTGTTCTACAAGAGGCTCCACTTGACTCTAGCTATAGGGAAGTAGCAGGCGATATCATCAGTAACATTAATGTAACAGTTGATGACAATTGACATGAGAATCTTCAGGATGGAAAGCAGTAAGTCATGGGTAAACCATGGTCCAGCAAATAGGAAATATCCTAAGTAAGGGGATCCTCCTGATACAAATGCAGAAAACCCCTAAACAACCAGGGAACACCTAGAGAAAAGATCTTATCACTCCAGAATATCTGGAAGCTGATAAATGTAGGTCTGATCCCAATTTGGGAATGCTAGGTTCAGTTTACTTTCCTTCCTTGTAGAGAATATGGAAAGAGTAGCTTGGCTGCAGCAAACAGCAAGAAATACAAAAAAAGAGGAAAAAGAGGGAGAGCAACTTTGATCTACGTAATTGTAAGAATTTATGTTGTGGCACACTCCTGTAATCCCAGCACTCGGGAGGCTGAGGCAGGAGGATTGCTGTGAGTTCAAGACCAGCCTGGGCTACATAGTGAGTTCTAGGTCAGTCACAACTACATAGTGAGACCTGTTCTCAAAAAACAAGCAAACAAACAAAATTATGTGCAACATGATATATTCTTTGCACAGCTGCTAAGTATATTCTGAACAGCCGCAAGGGGTCTTTACTGCTGTCTCTTGACTACACATGCTCCAAAGATACCACAGATAACGTTTGTCATATTTAACTATTGAGACACTGTATACAGTAGGTGGAACTGAAGATGAGAGGTTGTTCTTACAAAACCCAGTCTTAACTCTCCTTAAATTGTTGACCTAATGCTCTCTGTTCTCTTGGAAAGTAAGTCTTTTTAGCAATGCTGAGAGAGAGAGAGAGAGAGAGAGAGAGAGAGAGAGAGAGAGAGAGAGCACACCAGTGGATGGCTGCCTCATTCTAACTCATAGATGGGACTACCATGAACGGAACACCTTTAGCCTTCACACTGTACTTAAGTGAATTCTAAATTGAATGTAGTCGTGGTACCGCAAATTAGAGCTCTAAGTTCCATATAAAATGCTTTCACATGTGCTCTGTAAGTCAGCCAAAGACTCTAAAGGAATTTAGCTTGACTATGTGAATGTCAACACCTCTTCTTATGGCATCAGGTTTAAAAGATGCAAAGAATAATAGGTACAGCATCTTTGTAAAATGTTTAGGTTGAAAGAGATGATATGCCTTGAAAAAGTCTTTAAGGTTTTAATTAAGTAGCTTGATGTGAAAATAAGTACAATGTTCAGTGAAATATCAGTAAAAAGTTTAGTTTTTCTCTGCATAAAAGAGAAATCTCATTAGTTTACAACTGAGATTGTAAACTTGTACAAATCCTAAATTTTAAGTGTGTGAATTATTTGCTTATTTGTTTTGTTTTGCTTTGTTTTTGCAAGCAAAAGTTATATGATGAGCAAATCATTTATTTGAGTAAGAAATAGATATAGAAATATCATTGCATATATGTGTATCAGTACTAATGTATGTTTAAATATACTATAAAATGCATCAATCTAATATATGTACTTTAAATATGTAATCATTCAAGTTTTAAAATTTCCCATTTTAACACTTTTTAATTTCGAATATTAATACTTGCCTAAACTCTGGTAGCCTTCTAACACAATTAGATTGGCTGACAGAGTTCCTATAAATTTCTGTTTTTAACTCTATTACCTCTGGCTATTTATGTTTTGAATAAATTATTAATTTATCTTTTTTCATGTAGCTCAATAAATGTGAAATATCCCTGCAAGTACCTCTATGGAATTAAAGTGTATTTTAATATGTAAATACAAAAGGTTAATTACTTTTCAGAGAGCCTGATGTTTCATTGGAGAGTAATTGTAGGTTATTTATTAGGCTTCTTGCAGTTAATTATATTAGCTGTCTGTACTGGATTAATAGTACCAAATGAAAGTATTAATTAATTCAATAAGATTTTTTTTTATTTTCTTCTGTTTCAGTTGATTTATCCTTAGTGAATAAGGATGATGATGCCATCTACTTTTTGGGACATTCTCTTGGCCTTCAACCAAAAATGGTTAAAACATATCTTGAAGAAGAATTAGATAAGTGGGCCAGAATGTAAGTGCAGTATTATTTTAAATGCTACGATTTAACATCTCATCTAAGAATTAACAAAAAATAATACTGGGTTGCTAATGTTCTGAAACACATATAATGAAGTTCTATGACCTTAAACCAGAAAGAAACCTTAGCGATCTTAACATTTAATACAGTTTTTGATGAAACAATTGAGGATCAGAATTAGGACATCTGGCAAGTTAGTGGTGAAGTAAAAACTTAGAAAATGTTTAAACATCTGAATCTTTCCCGTGTTGACATATCTGCATCATGTATAGTCATTTCATTTTATTTCTTTAACGAATAATACTGAGGTAGTATTTGGACTTTTCATTTTATCCTGATCATTCTTCTCTAATCATGTACAAACAGTTACAATTTATTTCATTTCTGTTTTCTATTCATTTTTATAAGTGAGAAACAAAGCTGGTAGGTTAAGAAGGAAAGAGGTTGGGTGAGGCAGATGTACTTCTTTCCCCATAGATCATGATAAACTGAGAAAGGCACTCCACTTCAGCTTGGCAGGGTAGAATCAGGACCATTTTCCCTCCACCTCTTTTCCTTTCTTTTTACTCTTCTAACTCTGAAACCCAGCACGCTCCCTCTCTGCCTTAACCCTCATGCTGAGTCTCACCGGCACAGCTTCATTGATTGTGCCTCCCAAATGTCATAGCTTCGTTCCTTAACAGTTTCATGTCCTTAAAAATGTTAAAGTATTTTATTAATATATAATGATTGCACATAATTTGGGGGCCTATGTAGGATTTGAATACATGTCTATAGCATGTGCAAATCAATTTAGAATGATTAGTATTTTATCTCTTTTTTATGTTTGTGTTTGAGCCTCTGAGTGGCTCTCTTTGAGATTCATAAAATATACAACAGTTATTATAAATGATGGCCTTCTCACCCTTCCAGAACGCTGCTTATTACTTCTATCTCACTGCATTTGTGTACTGGTTATCTAATCTTTTACTATCCTTTCTTGGAGAGCCAGTTTTAGTTTCATATTCTTAACTATATTACAAATCCCCGAAAAAAAATACTAATATTATGTATTTTCTACCTTTCCCCAGTAGTTACTGATAAAGTCGAAATTAGAAAAAACAAATTTTTTTTTTTTTTTTTTGTTTTTTTA